GATATGATATTATTGAATCAGATACGTTACGCTACACGAAACAAAAAAAAAAAAAAAAACTTGGACACGAAAGCCCTAGAGAAGTTCGATAGACGTGCATAAACCCTAACTTCCAACGCAAACCATAGTGTTATTAATTATTAAAAAGAGGCTACCCGTAGTAGTAGTGTTATTAAACAAGTACCCGACCCGATACAACAGATGATCCATCAACCGACACAAACATTCCTTGGAAGAGCCTTGCACTTCAACGGCTTCTTCATCTCCATAGACAGCTTGAGAACCTCAGTGAGGTCCACATCACAAGAACCCTTAACCCACTCGAAATTCTGAATCAACTGAGCAACCCAGAGATGAACAGTGGCTAGACCCATTGCCTTACCCGGGCAAACCCGGCGACCTGACCCAAATGGAGCCAACCTAAGATCCGAACCCATGACGCTTACATCCTCACCTTCAATAAACCTCTCAGGCTTAAACTCTTCAGGGTCGGTCCAGATTTTGGCGTCATGTGTGATGGACCACATGTTGACCATAGCAACGGTTCCTGCGGGGATGAGGTTGGGACCTACGTTGACATCATGGATAGCGAGACGAGCCCACGAGAGGAGAGGGCCAGGTGGGTGGAGCCTTAGGGTTTCTTTGACAACAGCTTGAAGGTACGGTAGTTTTGAGATGTCGGAATCAGACAAGGATCTAGTGTTGTTACTTGTAACGGAAGCTATCTCTTTGAAGAGTTTTGCTTGCATGTCTTGATGCAATACCATTCTTGCAAGTACCCATTCCACTAGAATCGCAACTGTATCTGTCCCTCTAAATATCATTTCCTAAGAATATATATAAAAAAAATTAGATAACATATATAATAATAATATAAAAACTTATATCCTATATAAAAAACAAATACTAGTAAAAGAGCTTTACCCAAAGAACAGCAATCATGTCGGAATCAGACAATTTTTCTTCCTTTTGCAAGCCAAGCAAGACATCAACGAAGTCATTTTCCTCACCATTGGCATTGAGATTGTTGCTCGTCTTCATCTTGTGATTCTCGATGATTCTGCCGACAAAAGTGTTGACTTCTGAGACCAAAGCTTTAGACCTCTTCCTAACTCCTTGGAAGTCAAACCAACGAAGAACACCAAAGTGATCACTCCAGTTAAATATTCCAAGCAACTCATACCCTTCACTCACCAGCCTCTCCAAAAAACGCCCATCACCGTTAACTTCATCATCAAAGTCATAGCTCTCACCAAAAACAGTTGTCATCACATTATTCAACGAACCAAAGTGAATCACCTTCTTCACTTCAACTTCACCACCAGCTGAAGAAGAAGACATAACAAGACTCTTGATCTTCTTCACCATATTCATACCGATTCCAACCCTAACACCTTCAAAACTCGCGATTCTTCTCGGACTGAAAAGATGCGTCGAAGCGATTCTCCTCAGGTTCCTCCAGTACTCACCATAAGGTGCGAACCCCAGGGAGCGGTGGAAGAGAAGTTCGTAAGCTGACTCCTTAAAAGGCCGGTCAGCGAAAGCAGAGCTGTTTAGAATCTCTTTAGCCGTCTCCGGTTCACTGGAGATCACGAAACGCGAAAACCCCACGGAGAACGCCATCAAGGGAGACGCCTTCAAGCGTTGGGCAAGCGCGGCGAGGACACGGTGAGGAGTGGAGCCGGAGAAGACGGAAAGAGAACCAGATGGACCAGGAATCGAAACCCTAGTCTTGGACGACGACTTGGTGCACGCCCATGCGAGGCCACCTGGTGAGAGAAACAAAGCAACTGTGCCTATGAAAAGAGAGAGCAACGTAAAGGTTTCGAAGCTGACCAGGTTGAGGGAGTTGAAGAACACAACGTAAGCTTCTGGAGACATCTCTCAGGCTTTGAGTAACCAAACAAGAGAGAAAGTTTGTGAGTGAGAGAAGTGTATGAAGAGTGTGCATGCATGGGAAGAGTGTTTAAATAGATGGTCACTTGGTTGCTTTACTGATATTTTTAATTACTTTTTATTGGCATGTGTTAATGTTGGATTAATTATTTTAAAAAGTTTGTACTAGCATTGATTATGTTGTCCTTTAAGTCAATGGCATCAGTAACTTTTACTGATGAATTCACGGAATGGTAGAGTAATGCTTTGATATTGCTGTAACTTTGTTATTTCCAGAATTGTTTTGAAAAAAAAGCTTAATTTTAAATACAGTTGTTACCAAAAAGTCGTAGTATTGGTATCTGATAAATTGGTGTTTGATAACAAAATAAAGAGTTGTTAAATTTTAGAGCTCTAATATAAGTATGTGGTTAGTATTATAGTGATTTGTGAGTGTTTCTAATCGTAACCAATATTTTTTGATAAATCGTTAGCATGTATAAGTAAAATGTGATTCATATGGACTGTGAGGATTTAAAAGCTAAAGATTTGGTGTGTCATGCAAATAATTTTGCAACATAGTCAATATATTTTCTGCCACATACATAGAAAATGCTCCAATGTTGTTCAAAAGAAAAATTCACTTCAATTAGCTTCTATAACAATTTAGCATCATGGAGTAATATCAACCTCGCATTAGAAAGAGCTAATAATAATAATCCGATAGGAATTCACTCGATCTCCTTATAAAAATGTAAATATATGGGTGGAGTCAATTAACTAAAAATACTCTAATAGTAGTATAATGTTATTATTTATCGGAAAAGAGCAATGATAGTAAAGAAGAGAATCGGAATGAGAATCACAGCCGTCCTTGCCACCCTTACCAAAGCTAATTTAATGGTACGGATGTATTAGTATTTTATTGATGCATTTTGTGATAATATTACTAAAGAAAATGAAGAAAAGTTAACTGAAATGGTAACAAAACTTCTGTTTTTGACATTTTAATTTTCAGAATGTCGGAAGTATTCAGCGAAACAATTGCGATTCTTTGACAAAAGTTTACAATTCGATACAATATTACAGAATTGAAGCAGTTTTTTTGCTTTATGTAATCAAATTATAAAACATAAATAAATTGGAGTTTTACTTTTTGCTTTCCACTCATAATATGAGTAAATATATGTAGTTTAGATCTAAAAGTGTAAGTGGAAGTACTCGTGGCTCAGTGATAAAAGATTAAAGATTTCTACACCAAATCTGGGGTTTCATTCTCAAGCTATGCATTTTTTACATCAAGTGAATTTCAATTCTCGGAAAAGGTTAATGGCGAATTATGCAGATAATTAGAGAAAAAGTTTGCATGAGATTTTTCAGCATGGCGCAAGGAGTACCGTCGAAAAATGTGAATCCGCATAACACAGGTAGAATTGTCGGCTATAATATCGTCTATGTAATATTTCATATAGTTTATAACGCATAATTAACCAGTGTTAAAAAATAAATCTAAAAGTGGAGTTAATACATTTGGTATTTAATTCTAAGGTGTGCTCACATGTTTAATATCAGGTTTTTACATCACTACTAGGTGGTTGTCCGTAAATTTATGAATACAAATAATTTTAAAATATAATATTCTTATATTTTGAAATACTATAATATATTATTTTTAGCTTTTCAAACTGATGAATTTTTGCTATATATTTTTTAAATAAAAAGATTTTAGATATTTTATTTAGTTTGGTTATTTGGTTAATTTAAAACAATCAAATAGCTAATTTTTTTAAATATACATGTTTTAGATAAACTGTTTTATAAGCAAAGTTTTAAAATTTTGTAATGTTCCAACATGTAAACTATTTGACTAAGATATTTATAAAAATATTTAAAATATTAAATAATAAATATTTAGATAATATTATATATATAAATGAAAATAAATAAGGTTATGGGCCTGCGGATCAGCTCTAGTTTACAGTTTAAAAAAAAAATTGTCAGTTATTTTTGGACGTTATTGTTTAAACCAGTATATCTATTGCAAATATTTTTTTGGATTTTTGTTATATTAAATGTTTGAAATGATATCACTAGATTCCATAGACCAAAATCTCAATTCTCATGCATATTTTATACATCAAACTCTCTCCATGGAGACACTATCTACTCGAATTTCCTCAGCATATGCGAGTCTGATCTCGAAAACAGCATTGAATGTTCATTGAAGCTGGAGTAAAAGGCTCAAGAGCACAAACAAGATCATCAAGAGAGAAAAAAACAGAAGCCTACTGTTCACAACCATCAAGAGACTGATACAATTGAAAGGACGATTAAAGAGATGTATGTGTTCAAGGTAGGGATGGGACTTTTATATGGGATCCGGATCTGATCAGATCCGATCTGGATCCGTTCTGAAATTAGGATATTCAGAGGTGTTCGGATCCGAATCCGGATAGTAAAATCTCGGATTCGTGCAAACCAAATCCGGATATCTTAATTTCTAGGTCTGGATATCCGGAATCCGGATTCGGATCCGTATTTTTAAAAATATATTAATTTTTTATTTTATTATTAATTATATCTGATATATTAATATTTATATATAAAATAAGTTTATAATATTCTATTTTAATATTAATATTATATGTCATATATATATATATATTTTCATAAATATTTAATTTATGTATTATTTTTTTAAAATATTGCTTTTTTAATTTTTAATTATTTTTACGGATACGAATCCGAATCCGGATACCCGTAGATATCACAATATCTAGAATCCGGATATCCGAAAGACACGAATCCGGATCCAGATTTTAAAATCACGGATCCGACGAATTCGGATATTTGAAATTTTTCGGATATCCAGATCTGTTCCAGCGCTAGTTCAAGGCAAGAGATATTGAAGAGATATTGAGCAGGCCCTTGACATTGAAGGGGTCACTTCATTACTATTCTCATCTTAGAAGTATGTATCTCAACACTTGCTGCTAATATAATTTTTTCTTTTTCAGATTCATGTACTTTGAAACGATACTTGAGTTCTAGCTTCCAAAAACTTGACCTGCAAACTTTTTAATTGGTCTACTGTAGTATATAGAATATGGTCTTATAATAGAAAGCAAGCTCATCAATATCACAATAGCAAAAATTATTACATAGGTATTTCATCTTCTGCAACAAATCATCTATAACAAGAACCTGAACAAATTCAAGTGCGGCAGCAAGCTGTAAATATAGATAAACTTCTGAATGAACTCAAGTCAAAGCCAGAAGAGGTCACCAAGTGCAAAACCTGAGACGAGGTCGATAAAAGGAGGACCAGTATTTACTCGAAGAGGAGGGGGTCAGTACCCATTGGTGGTAGATGCCAATACATTGTGCTCCCTAAGGCGCTTCTGGAAATGAGCAAGACGGTTCTGTAGTTGGAGTATACCAGCAGCCTTCTGGGATAGAATTGTGTTCAGTCTTGAAATGTAACCATCTAACTGGTTTCCTGGTTGGTCTGCTTCCACCAGCAGATTCATCTCCTGCACATGTGATTCCAAAAAAGAGATTAAAAGATAGAATCATAACCAGAGGATTTGTAAAAAAATTGAGAAAATTCTTACCTCTTTTACTATGTTCATGGTGTCCTCAACTTGTTTACGGTGAGCATTCACAAGGTCTTCTTCTTCCTGTAAAAAAAGGTTCTTGTGTCAAGGCTGATTAAAAAAAAACAATCATATTGTTTTTTTTTAAGGTTACCTGCAGAAGCGCATTAAGATTGTCATCGGAGTTAGACTTCTTCATATCAGGCCTTGTTGGCATGTCTCTTGACTTCACCGGAATAGTAGGCTTCTGGATTCTCTCCTGTGCATAGGATACCTCTGGCTTCACGTTTTTCTTCCACATTTGTTTCTCTTGCTCGTAATCCGATGCATCAAAGTCATCGTTTTCTTCACCCCACGTCTCATTCACGTCATCATCATAGTTGGATGGAGTAGGAAGTGCGGTAGATAAAGGAACTTTTGTGGACTCCCTTAGGTTTAACGTTGAAGAAGACACATCTTTCTTAGACCCGTTTCCCTTCGAGAGACTCTTGACCCTACAGAAACGGTTTATGGGATTAACGTATGACAAAAAGAAAGATATAACATCGAAGCAAGTAAAAACCAACCTGTCAGCGTATCTTAAGGTGTTAAGTGTGTGCTCACATGATCCAGAGCTTGGAGATATGCAAGATATCATTACAGTACGAGAATTCCCCATGAAAGAGTCCCTGAGAACTTCAGTCAACTTACTTCCTCTAAAAGGAATATGACCTTGATCATTATCCAGAGCTCTAATACACTCTTTTAAGGCGAGTAAGCTCTTATTGATCTCTGCTCCTTCCAATCTGTGTCATTCATACCAATATACATCAACGCTAAAAGCCAGAAACACACTAAACACTTCAAAGAGATGGTGTAAAAGTGTTACCTCGTCTGCTTGTCATTGTCTGTTGTGTCTGCACCACGTTCACTTCCAGCAAGATCAATGAAAGAAAGCTTTCCAACGAGGCGAGGGGGCTTTGACTGATTCCCCTCAGCTGTTTTTTTAATAGCGAGCTGAAGTATAGCATGTGAGCGAGAGGATTCTTCATTTGCACCAGTAGTTCCAGTACTTCTTGTTGCACTTCCTCTCTCGATAAGCTCCACAATCGCATCTGTGTCAGATACTCTGTACTCTTGCAAACCAACGATGCACACTTGCTGCTTACCATCCTCTCTCATGCACAGCTTCCTATAAAAGTTAAGAAAGTTTTTCTTTCGTTACATAAATAGACATAGTAGTCAAGATAAGTTAACAACTTACTTCCTCTCACTGAGGAGATCATAAAGCTTTCCACCGTAGATTTCAAAGAAGCTGACAAACAACTGAAACCCTTGGTTTCTGTATGTGTGGTGCATCAACCTTAGGATATCCCTTGAAGCCTTAAGAGGCAAAGGCTTCATGGTATAGGTTTTACCACTACCTGAGAGGCAAACATAAAAGTTCACATTGATAATATACAATTCTAGAATATGGGTTAGTAGTTAGTACACAGAGACTACGTACCTGTCTGCCCATATGCAAAGCAAGTGGCTTTGATGCGCTGGAAAATTAATGGCACAACAGGCTCCACTGTCTCACGATAAACCTACCGAAAGTGGCATAACTAGTTGAGAAATAAGCGCCGCAACAGTAACTGATTACTCGTAAAATNAATATACAATTCTAGAATATGGGTTAGTAGTTAGTACACAGAGACTACGTACCTGTCTGCCCATATGCAAAGCAAGTGGCTTTGATGCGCTGGAAAATTAATGGCACAACAGGCTCCACTGTCTCACGATAAACCTACCGAAAGTGGCATAACTAGTTGAGAAATAAGCGCCGCAACAGTAACTGATTACTCGTAAAATAAGGCAGTTACCTCATCATTTGATACTTCCTCATCTAGCACAGCATCAAACACAAACTCATGTTTTTCAACATAGGCTGTCAAGTCAACCTGCAATAAAGTAGTCATTGATCAGTCTTAGTGTCTGGCTACAGCGAGGACTTTGTGCGGACTCAAACCATTTAGTGACTAACCTTGACTTTGGTTTCGTGAACTGTTAAGCAATTGGAATGTGTGTCAATAATATCTTCTTCATTTTTTACCGACTCCTTTTTGTTAAGTGGCCTCTTACGCACCTGTTGAGGAAATGATTAGCACTCACAACGCACAAGACATGGTGAATCACTTAATTCAAGTGATAGGTTACAGGGAAAGAAGTGAGAAGGAAAAAAACGTACAACAACTTTGATCTTTGCAACAGCATTCATCTTTTCCTTCTCAGCTGCCAAGTTATCAGCCAAAACACGGCTACGGTTAGGCTGCTTGTTGTAAGCCTCAAAGTCATCAAAGCTCTGGCTCTGACTAGGATTGAACATTGACGGTCCATCTAACTGGTTAGAGACTGGAATCTGCTGATAAATAAGTTAGAAGTCTACATCAAAAGTCTAAAAACGCAATGAAGTTTCACATATTCATCATATGTTAAACAGAGAATCAAATAACTAAACGGTGTCATATGAATCATTG